CGGATTTGGAAAATTCGGTTTTTGTGGAACGAAATCAACATTTGATTTTGGACGAAATGCCATGGCATATCGACTTCCAACATTGTTTCCATCACTTGTATTTTGAGAAAATCGATTGTGAAACTTTCGTTTTTGAGAAAATCTTTGTTGTTGATTCGAAGAAAATCGTTGTGTTGAGGGTTGATTTGGAAAGCTCTTTGAGGTATTTTTGAAATTTGTGGAAAACGTGGTATTTTGAACTTTCAAAGAATTTGTTTTTGGATAAAATTCGGATTTTGTGTTGTTTGATTGAGCAGGATTTTTCTTTTGGTATGAATAAGATGCTTTTGAAGACTTGTTCTCAACATATTTAGTCTTTATGTTTTAAGATGTTTTCATTGTCAAACCGTTTTGTTTCTTTCGAGACTCAACAGTTTGCCAGAAAATTTTATTTCGTGCTTGTCTTTTTGAAATTTCATTTTCTTTTGAAAACTTTTCTATTTGTTCTTTAAATTCTTTTGAATTTAATTTGACAACACTTTCATTTTCCACAACAACTTGTTTTGAAACTTCTTTCTCAGCTTTTTGTTTTTCAACCCATTTTCGTTGAGGTTTTTGTCTTTGAAAAACATACGGATTCTTTGTTAGATTATTTTCGACAATGCTTTGATTTGAAAAGAATCCTTCGTCTGTTGTTTTCTTGTTGTCATTTTCGACCATTTTGTTGAATTCTGGTTTAATGTTTTCAACATTTCCAGTAGTGACAAACACCTGATTTGGAAAAACAACATCATCTGTACACTTGAAATTTGGATACACCACTTGATTTGTATCCAAATAATGGGCTCCTTTTTCAGACAGAACTTTGTCAAAATTTTCAGTGTCCCCAAACACTTGTTCAACAACAACATATGAAATGGTTGGTTCGTTTGAAACAGGTCTGTCAGGCTTAGATTCATTCGAAACTTCGGCTTCATCCTCATCATCACTACTATCTGTTTGACTATCTCTGACACTCACATTGTCGAAATCACAAACTTTCGATGTTGAGGGTTTGTCAGTGTCATTCTTTACCAACGAATCATTACATTTTTCTTTTCCTTTAGACTTAGATGTGACATTAATGACAGACAACTTTGAACAATCAACACTTTCCTCTTCCACAATTTCACTGATTTCGCTGAAACTATCAGAATTATCATCGACATCAGTGAAATTGGATTGAGAGTCAAGTTTCGAATTCTCAGTTCTTTTCAAAATTTTGATTTGTTCATTCTTGGTTAAGGTATCATTCATAATGTTAGCTAATTCATTTGAATCCAGACATTCGTCAATTTTGACAATTCCATAAGCATATCTATCATCAGGAATTTTGTCAAACTCAGCAATAGTTTTCTCACAATCATACGAAATATTATCAACCTTCTATCTCTTATATGATAGAAAAGGTAATAATTTCCTATATTGCTCCTTGCTAATTTCACACGAATGATGCAATGCAGTCAATTTGCCATAAAGTCTTTTAGCAGAGTTACAGTATATGTTTCGTTGAGCTAATAAGAGTTTTACATCACTAGACAACGAATCCCTATCACACATAATGTTTGTAATTTGCAATTCTAAACTCTCTATTATTATTTTCTTGGCATTTAACTTCTTCTGTACTTCTATCAACTGAGAAGTTGATTTCTTAGCCTCATTGCTAGCAGAGATAACCAAAGCATCGATATAAGAAACTGTATCATCAAAAGCAATTAATTCAGAATCATATGCACTTAAAGGAATATTAAAAGACTGAAGAATAGTACGTACCTTGGTAGTCATTGGAGATTTATCAGCACTTTTGGTCATGAAGCAATGACCAGTCACCTCTTCGTCAGAATCTTCCTCCAGCTTCGCATACATGGCACCATGCGTAGAATTACGCATCTCTTCATCATCGGATCCGGAAGACCAGATCCGATATGTGCCCACTTCCTCCTGTTCACCTCTAGCCATCAATGACAAATTTTTCGCCTTCGAACGCACCTCTTCCAATCTCTCCACATAATACGCTTCGTCCTTCACTTTGTTCTTTCTTTCATCCTTCTTACGAAGCATGCAATCATTTGCTAGATGATTTGCTCCGTTGCAATAATGGCAATCTACACCTGAATCTCCTTTCAATTTCTTTTCCTCATTAATCTTCCCATCATTCTTCTCAATTTAATTCTTCTCCTCTCCAGCTGCCTTGTTCACGAAACTACCTTTTCCTTCACTTTGCTTCACCTTTGGAATGAACGGTTTCTTGAAAAACTTTTTGACTCTGTTGTTTGAGTAAAAAGCTACCACCTCATCATCCGAATTCATGATAAACCCCTCTTCATCATCAGAATCACCTTTTCGACTGTTTTCCTTTTCAGACACTTTATAGACAAGTGCTAATGGACCTCCCAGAATAAGCTTCGACTCTTCTGCTATTTCATTCACTTCACTTTCATGAGTTTTCAGTTGATTGTACAAATCATTTAGAGAAGATGTGTCGAAACTCTGTTGATTTTTCACCATCATGCTAACACTCCCCCATTCTTTACGGAGTCCCATAACGAAGATGAGATTGAATTCCATAGCAGTCCTCGTGATTCCATATCGATTGCATTTGTAGATCAACTCATTCAGCCTATCATAATAGCATTCAATCGTTTCACCATCTTTTTGCTTGAATTCCTTCAATTCAATCAAACATTGTTTAACTGAATTTATTTTTGTCTTCTCACTTCCCTGAAACTTGTCTTTGAGATTATTCCAGATATCTTTTGCAGTTGTACAACTCTTGACATAGTTATATACAACTGGAGGTAATGCACCGCGTAACTCTCTTATGCATCTTTTCTCAAGTTTCTTCAATCGATCAGATTGATCACTAACACTTGAAGTTCCAGACGATGATCCAATTGGTTGAACATTTGTCAGAGGATTAATATTCCCAGAGATACATGACCAGAGCTCTTCATCGAGTCCATTCAAGTAATCTTGCATACGATCAGCCCATTGATCATAATATTCAGGAATAAGCATAGGAATCTTAGTTGAAGATCCTAGCAAATGAGAGAATGAAGTCATCGAGTTGAGATTGAAGTTCACCATTGATGTACGGATGAAAATTTTTGAGAATTTTTGAGAAATCAAAGAGAATTTGAAAGCAAATTGTTGAATTGAACTGAGATAACAAATAGAACACTCGATTCAACAAATCAGATGCAGAATCGAATCACAACTGAAGATATGGAACGCTTTTCACTTCAAAAGGTGCGGAAACTTTTTGAACCAGAAATTTGATTCAAAAACCTTTTGAATCAGAGTGAAAATCAGATCGTAGATTATGATTCCTGCTCTGATACCAATTGATGAAGTGATGAATCAAGTAAGAAACAAATCAGAGTAAACCAAATGTAGTTTGAACACGAGATGTAAATATAATCTGGTTTCAGATCTATTATGCTTTCAATTCTTACAGAGAGAATGTTTACAAGTTCATACACCAACCTACTTGTATCTCTAAGTAATGTCCCTATTTATAGGAAACATGAAAGCACACAAAAAATTACAAGGACTATTCATCTAAGCTTCGTTACAAAATGCCTTGTAAAATAACATTAAGTCTTCGACATATTACAACAGGTCTTCGACCCTTACACACTCTTTTTGTTCCATTTCCATACGTTTCACCTGTGCATACAAACAACCATAAGTATTTTGTGTTTTCACCACCAAAAATAATATGAAAAAACAAATAACATGAATCAATAGTTTTACCTCATTTTCTAATTTTTTTCTCTCAAGATTTTTTCTCACCCATTTTATTTCTAAGTTTTTGCAGACCTTTAAGAATACTATGGATTTGTGAATCATAGTCTTCTTATGGGCTGCATTTAGCTTACTTTGTGGTTGAGTATGTACATCTTTCAATGAAATAACCTGTAAAAGTGGAAATGTTATCTTTCTTTATGTCAGGGGTAAGGGTTGCATTTTGCTCACTTTGCTATTCATTAACATCAAATTTAGCTTTTCCATGCTCTTGCTCGATTCAACAGGGTTTTCATCGCAACCCAAAACCTACTCAACTCAACTAGCTAGTCTACTACCATTGTTGTGTCCTTTTGCCGTAGAAATGAAGAGAATTGTTCACTTTGGAGGTTTTAAATTACTTGGTGGATCGTGAACAGTATATCAACACAACTTGGGTGTGGTTTTCTGGGAATTGTACACGATATAAATAAGTTACTAGCCGTAAAAAAATCAAATGTAACATAATATGCCCATTGAAACAAAACGAATATTCAATCTTTGTAATTAGTGTTTTATCTAATATGGATTTGTGGTCCTCTCTTGTCATTATCTTCTCATATGTATGCACATATGGATAGTGATGGGAGGAGAAGAAAAAAAAACCATTAGTTTGATCATTAAATATTGTTAGATTTAAGAATCAGTATTTGTGCTCACTACCAGTACAAGATATAATTAGTAAACTACAAAGTAAAAGAAGATACAATAGTTGCTTTTCTAAACTAATTATACATACCTAAAATGGTAGCATCTCCATCTTTTCTAATCACAGGGTCTTCTAAAATGGTATATAACTCTGCAAAAAATTTAAAGACAAAATTTCCTGCATGATATATTGTTATGCTTTAAACATTGTATTCTAAATAAAAACCATATATACCCTTGACTTCTGATGTCAAACATAGGTAATCAGGTATGTACTAGTGTATGGCGTTTTCTCAAGTTTTATTTAGTTTATTTGGTATGGATTCTTATAACTGGTTATTTACTTTTGATTACTATGCTTCGGAAGTTTCAGTGTTTATGTCCAATGTTGGTTCATTTGACCATCAAAATTGAAAACCTATTCTTTTTGGCGAATTCATTTGATTTTTGATTGAAAACATGAATTATATTTCCATATGACCAATTACACACATGTGATGACACAAAAGTCAGAGAATGTGAGATGTGTAGGTCTTACCTGACATCAATCATTCATTGCTTATGAGTTCTTCTTTGCTTCTTCCCTGATCGATAAATGAGCTCCCATTGTTTGATAATTTTGATTTGGCAGACGCGAAAAACCATATAGAATCCATCAGTTTCTTGATCATATGCACTGCATAGTAAGCGATTTTCGCATGCTTTTTCTTGTCGACAGTAACGAAGCTAATGAACATGAAACAGTCCATCAAGCTCTCTTTAGCCAACCCTTTCATGTAGTAAGCTTGTGATCTTCTCCAAAGTCTTTTGTCATGAGAATTGACAGGTTTTACGATTGAAAGAGCTATGGTAGCATCACTAATGGCGCCATCTGGATTATTAAGCAGTAAATAACACTGGGCTCTATTACTATAAAGTACAATCCTCTCTTTCTTTAGTTTTAGTGGACATAATTTTACATCATCTGTGTATTCCACAATCGTGGTGTCTATATCTCCTAACCAAAATCTATGATTCGCTTGTTGTTTTATCAGACTCACCAAGACTCTTTTCTCCTCTAGTTTCTCATCATACATCAAATCTCTCTTTCTTGTTCTTATTGACTTTAAAAACCCATATTTCTTTTAATATTCTTTCAACTTCAGGATTCTTGATTCTCGATTTCCTATTCTTGAAGTCAATGAGCAGTGCTCTTGTGATTTTATGGCCTATTTTTTACTATTCTCCTAGTTCCTGGAGCTCAATGTGTTGGGTCAAAAATATGGTTTATACTTTACTTTTCTAGGCGTTAATAGTTTTTGGTCATGTAATATGTTTTTGCAGTTGTGTTTACGACCATGATGGGTGTTTACGGCCGTGAACTGGTTCACGGCCGTAAACCTATTCACGGCCCATGTGCCATATATATAAGTGTTAATGGTGAGGTCATAAGTAGAGGAGAGTTCACGGCTACGAGAGAGAAAAGAGAGAGAAAGGAGCTTAATTGTGTGTTAGTGTGTGTGAATCTCATGTAAAGGAGTATCATAGGGGGTTTGTTCTTTGTGTTTTTGATAAAAACGAGTTTTTGATCGAGTTTTGGAGCAAAAAGAGGTTAAAAACACTGTTTTTCACGTCATCTGAAGCAGTGTTCATGGCCCAGAAGAAGGGTTCACGGCCCCGGCCCAAAGAATCTTTCATGGCCCAACTCGTTTGCGGTCCTTGGAGTTCACGGTCCTCGGGTTCACAGTCGGCCTCGCGTTCACGGGCCTCGCGTTCACGGTCTTCGCCTCGCACGATCACGGTCCTCGCGTTCACGGTTCTTCGCCTCGTTCCCGGTCCACCTCGTTCTCGGCTCCATCACGTGTTTGGTCGGTCATCGTATGCATCGTCCTCGCATTCGGAGCTTGTATATCTAAAAAGAAAATCTTTTTGGGGTTGCCAGGTTTCGAACCTGGGTCCCCTGCCTCATCCTCCCCTCCGCCTTACCAGCTCATCTAGCTTGATAGATGATACACTCCTTCCCGGATTTAATTCAAAAGGCTTCTCTATTTCGACCTAATTTCGCATTTTTAACATTTTCTGCCCAAAAATTCAAAATTTCAAATTTTAAAATTTCATTTTCAACCAAAAATTCTGACTTTTAATTTTTTATTTTCTAAATTGACTTTTGACTTAAAATTTTGACTTTGACTTTCAAGTTTGACCTTTGACTTTAAACTTTGACTTTTTCGTTTAACTTTCAAAATTTCAAATTTAGCTTTTCGGTTTGACTTTTTAATTTTTATTTTTTAGGTTGACTTTTGAGTTTTTAAGTCAAAGTGCATATTTTTTTAAACAATGAGTTCTTCAAACATCAAAGTCAATGAAATTTCCTTGCAGAATTTACGTGAACATTATGAATTACTACGTAGAGAGAACGATGAACTAAAATACGAAGGATACCAACTTAGGAAAGGCCAAAAACCATTGAAAGAACAACTAGAGGCCAAGACTAATGACTATAGGAAATTACAGGCAAAGTACAGTGACAAGTGTGTTCATTATAGATATCTTAAGAAAGATTTTAATGCTATAACTGCGGAACTTGAAACACTGAAAATACATTTTGAAAATGCTGATTTCAAGTGAAAAGGTTGCAACAATGATTGAAAAGCAACTAAAATTTAAAGATAATCAAAATAAGGGTCTAGGGTACCACAGTGTTCCACCTCCCTTCAATGACAACTATAACCCACCCCTTGAGACCAATGAGGAAGAAATGCCTGCTCTGTATGGCCAAACCCCTGTTCCAGCTTCAGTTAATACTGAACAATCTGAGCCAACTGAGAATATTAAAGTGAACATTTCTGGTGCTTCTACTTTATGTGCAGGTAAAGTAGCGGAAGATGAGAACAAGGAGAACACTATTGAACAAACCAATGACTCCTTGAACTCTGAATCTGTTGCTTCTAATTCTGTTACTCCTAACAAACCTGTTTGTTGAGAAATATAGGCCACCAAAGCAAGCTAAACAGAGTGCCAGCTGCAAGTGTGCATGTGGAAATAATCAGCGACAAGGCAAGGACACGCCACCAGGGGCAAGAAGCAACAACTTCCCAGTGAAGAAAAAGACATGTTTTCACTGTGGAACACCTGGACACATTGCCCGAAACTGTCCTAATCGCGCATACATTCCCTATTACGCACATGGCTGGCAAAATGCGCCAAGAGGGAGATTTTCCAAAAGAAACCCCTCAAGGTCACATTCAGACAATGGCGACTGGAACGTGCAAAAGGCCAAGAATCCAAATCCCAAGGTCAAGAAGGGAATGCCAGCCAAGAAGTCCAATCCAAGAGATGCTCCAGTGAAACCAAGACCGGTTAGGTCAAAGTCATCTCGGCGATCGGCTTCAAGTTCAAAAGCAAGCGATAAGGCACCCATCAGATCGAACAAGAAATGGGTTAAACCCAACTACAAATGGGTACCAAAGGTTCAATCTCCCAAATCACCTAATGACTCTAATATTTCTTCATCTTCTGTTTGTGATAAGCAGGATATGTCATGGGAGAGATTAACTTGCATTGATAAAAAAGGTCAACCCAGTTTCAAAATGGACTGGGTTCCAAAGACCAACTGATCCCGCTCTGTGCTGGAGCAGCTATGGAGGCATATCATCAGACTTCGGTTTGTTGGTAGTGGCTCTTCCTGGCACATGATTGGAGACATCTATCAACTGTACAACACTAAGAACATTGTTTGAGAGTATGTGTACTTTGCGGGAAGGAAAGAAAGGAAAGGATCACACATGGGGTTTTGTGCTTAACGATGTGAAGAATTTTCGGATCTGTTCTGAGATTATGTGTGCTGTTCTCAGACCTTCTGGATGCAAATTCAATCGGTGACTTACAGTTTGAGTTTTCTTCTCGATACTCCTGAGTTTATCTTAAACTCATTCGTTTTTGAAGACATTTTTTTCTTATATGTCTGTTGGGAAGTGATATCAAGAAAGTGATAAAGGGCAGTCTAAACATGTGTAAGGGACTGAATCTGAATTGTCTAGACTTTGTGTTTAATGAGGTGGTAGGCACGAAGGATTTGACAGTGTGGATTTAGATAGGATTGTTTGGACTGACCATACAACGCTCGGGTAGATTGAGCAGTGAGATAAACACGGGAACCCATGGGATACACTAAATTAATTCGCATCTAGAACAGTGGTTCAACTTTTCCTCGATGTACGGACTTATGTCCTTAATTCTGGTTCTGATAGGGCGACTGGGGGGTTCTGATAAAGTAGGTCTGTAGGAAATTATTTTCTTGCTTTCTATCTGTCAGTCATATGTTGCTTCCTATGCGTGATTGGAAGAGATCCAACCTGGAATGCAACATATGCAACTCTATTTCTACGCACCTCTTTATCTATGAAATTCTTTCTATCTGTTATCCATATGTTGTCCCCTCCGCGTGATCAGAAGATCTGACCTGGGACACGGCATATGCACACTACTATCTCTATAACCCTCTATCTTTGTTAATCATATGTTGTCCCCTCTGCGTGATTGAAAGAGATCCGACCTGGGACACAACATATGTATCTATCTCTAAATCTGACTTCCTCCTTAATAATTGTTTACTCACCTAAAGTAAGGAGTCCTTAGGAAGTTCTTGATAACCAGGGTATATCGGGAAGTGGGGAACATGTTCTAGTGCAACTAAAATTGAACCATTTAGAGGTTGTCTGTAGATCTCGCTGCTTCATTTAAGTGGAGAACAATACCCGTGGTCGTCATCAGCTAAATGGTATATTTGGAAAAAAATTTCGATATCCTTCGTGTTTAAGTGGACCACAATACCAGCAATTGACCAGATATGTTCATGATGGTGAAGGTACTGATAAACAAAGTTAACACTGTCTCACAACTTTGATCCCAAATATTTTTGTTTGTGTTAAATTTGTTCATAGTTTTCCTCTAAGCACAAATTTAGGGGGGAGAAATAAAAAAAAATAGTGTTATTTCTGTTTTATTTTTTGTTCAGAAAAATCAAAAATCCAAAAATATTTTTGTTTATGTTTTATTTTTCAGAAAATATAAAAATCCAAAAATATTGTGTGCTAAGTTTTCTTTTAGTTTTGTTTTGTCTTGAAAAGTGAATTCAGATGTAGATGAGACTCATGGAGACTGTATCGAGATTTTCTAAGTTAAGACTTCATCCGTGATCATCGAAGAATTCTCATTCGAAGGAGCAAGAAATGAAGACTATTCTTTCAACATTCAATTTTTCTACCCCAGAAGCAAGGTGAAGCTGACTTGAAGATTATGTGACAGATTGCATTGAAGCCTCCTCAATCAATTTTCTGCTATTCTTGTACCTGCTGAAGTGATCCAGAAGATTAGATTTCTCTATTGTTCTCTTGCAAGATTCTCAAGTTGAAAGCGCCATCTTTCAAGAATCTTATCAAGAAGCCTCCTCACCCAATGTGCGTTCAGAGTCAAATTTTGAAGAAAAGCCCAACTGCTCAAGATGAAGCCATTCATTGAAGATTCATCAAGTTCATCTTGAAGTTGTGAAGAATTTGAAGATTAATGTTGAAGCCAAGCTCCCAATGAAGATTAACAAGGAAAAGCCAGCTACCTTTTTAGGGGGAGTTTGTTGGTTCAGCTAGAAAAGAAAGCTATAAACCAAGGGGGAGATTGTTGGGTCAAAAATATGGTTTATACTTTACTTTTCTAGGCGTTAATAGTTTTTGGTCATGTAATATGTTTTTGCAGTTGTGTTTACGGCCATGATGGGTGTTTACGGCCGTGAACTGGTTCACGTCCGTGAACCCATTCACGGCCCATGTGCCATATATATAAGTGGTGAGGTTATAAGTACAGGAGAGTTCACGGCTAAGAGAGAGAACAAAGAGAGAAAGGAGCTTAAGTGTGTGTGAATCTCATGTAAAGGAGCATCATTCTATTCATCAATACATTGAGATTCATATTATTATTCTTCTCCTTCTTCTTCATCTGATCTTGCATCATCCACTTGATCGGGATTTCGCACCATCAAGCGGATCTGATTGATACGTTAAGCGAATTCGGGACTTTACACAATGAAATAAAAAAATTAAAC